AAAAAAAAAAAAAAAAACCCAAATTTTGTTTCCATTTCCATAGGGGCAGAAAGGGTGGCAAGGTTGATTCTCATAATGAATCTTACAGCAAAACTTCTGAATATAAAATTGTCACTACAAAAAACTAATAAATAGAAGTCTACCTAAATCAGCTATTGTCCCGAAGGGATGTCTAAGACTAGTATCTAGAGACTTTAGAAATGACTTTCTTATATACATAGGAGAAGAAGATACCAAATCTCATGCAGTGACTTCAGGTTCTTCAGTTGCCATGGCGATAAGTAGAGGATCAGATCCATAAATCTTATTTGCCTTCCTGCTTCCCGAAAAATATAAAAACAAAAACAACGAGATTGGGTCATAGACTGCCGTATTTATATGTTAGCAGGTGAATATACAAATCAAAGCTGAAAAAGATTTATCAACATATACTTACACTTTTTGCAACTCTACAATCACACCACAAAAATTCTACTTTAGGATCAAAAGTGTAATGACACAAGAAACAGATGATTTCATGAAATAACAGCCATAGAATGTACATCATTTTCTATTTAATTAAGAGAAGTGTCAGAGGCACCTACTCGCATGTCTTCTTATTGTGGCCGAGGCCCTTGCATTTGCTACACTGAAGTTGACGTTTAATTATCTCAACAGAGTCCGGTTGTTTCATCTTTGGTCGGCCAGGTGGACGTTTTGTTGGAGGAGGACTGACAACGATTGCCATGTCTACTTCACCTTTTACGGGCTTTTCCAGAAGGGGTACTGGGTTGATTGATTCTGAGTATGTCAAACAGTAGCTCTCAGTTGTGAAATATCTGGAGCAATAATCATACGGGCTCCTTCCCAGACATTCGAGAATAGCAATAGCATGGCAGCAAGGCAAACCACTAAGCTGCCATGCTTTGCAACTACAATCCCAATTGTCAATATCAACTATATCAACAGCTTCGCCACGAACTTCAAATGTGCTCCCATGTGAGTGTAATACTTGAAGTGATCTTGCCTTTAACGTCTCATTCTGAAGCTTTTCTTCCATAGAAGGCGTCAATCTTGTAAGCCACTGACTAGAATCAACACGCCTTGTATAAATCAGTTCCATCATCTTTCCACGTAAGGCATCGACCATCTGAGTAATTGGAAGCTCACTCACATCGGATACCCAATCACGAAAAAGTTGTCCAAAGTTAGAAGTCATGTGGTTATACCTCGCCCCTCCGAAAAAGGCATTTGCCCAGTGATCAGGCTCACTTCGTACGACCCAACTGTAAGCATCGGGTGAGATGGCCTTTATGTTCTCAACGCAGTGCTCAAAATCATCCAGCTTTGGAGCATAAGCAGCAGCATATAAATCTTGGATCATAAGACGCCTTGCTTCATGTGAAAACCTCCCATGCAGATCCTTATTTAATTTCTCACCAAGGTACCGAAGACAATAACCATGGTAGCAATCTTTGCTGAATATATCACATAATGACTCTTTTATACCATTTTGGAAATCAGAAACAAATGTTATTGGTCGAGAAGTTGAGACAGCAGATTTAAGTTCAGAAAGAAACCAATGCCAGTTGTCGTCTGTCTCCTCATCTACAACTGCAAAGGCTACTGGAAAGACACCATCATTCCCATCTGCACCCACGGCAGCCAATAGGGTTCCTTGATATTTTGCATAGAGAACAGTGCTATCAAGGAAAAGAAGAGGGCGGCAGCCTTGTTGAAAGCCATATATTGAAGCATGAAACGAGACAAATAGCCGGTGGAAACTCGAGTCCTCCTTCGTGGCAAATGTAGCAAGACTACCGGCATTAGTTTCCATGATACACTCACAAACTAAAGGTACTTGGCTGTATGCTTCTTCATAAGAACCCTGAAGTTGCTCTCTTGCAATCTCTTTTGCACGCCATGCCTGAGAATAGTTCAACTGAATGCCATATTCACGTTTGATGTCAGTGGCGATATCCTTTGGCTTGTAATTAGGAGAAGACTTCAACTTTTCCTTAATTATACTTCCCACCCATCCCCTTGTTGCTCGATATCCGGCTTTCACGGCAGCTCCTTCGCATGTATGGTTTTTATTCATTTTCTTAACACATATCAGCTGGGTAGTAGCCAACCTTGACGCATATATACGCCAAGGACAACCCTCAGACTTGCATTTAACCGTTACTCTGTGACTATCATTCTTCTTATATTTATATGTAAATCCATGCGCAATCGAGTACTTATGTAAGGCTTCACGAAATTCAGTAAAACTACTGAATCTTTGGTCCACACCAGTAATGGAGTTCTCCCACTGTGTAGCTGCCCTACGGTGCTTGTCGTCATTGCTACTCGGAAAAGTACCTAACGGTGTCGTATCCATGGGCGTATCAACCATAAGTCGATCATCGGGATGAGTCATATCCACAGGGGTAGTAGGAGAAAGTGCTGTCTCGGACATAGTTGTCTTGCTGGACCTGAATAATTCAGCAGGCCATAGATGCATTAGCAATCAGAGTGCAGTAAAGATAAGTCCTGGTTGTCACATGTTGAGTTCAAGAAACCAATAACACCAGCATTGAACTGAAACTTTTGGAATAATAACTATTTAAAGAAAAAAGAAAAGGAAAAGTAAAAAAATCATAATCAAGATACATGTGTTGAAATGTCTAATTACCTCATATGAAAGCTTAAGTTGTTAGATTGGAACACTTTTATTTATTTATGTTTACAACATGCCTCCTCACGTGCAGGCTTGATTCTTTTTTGGCCAATGGATAACAATGATAATTGAACTCAAAATTGCTATCTGTTCTAATATCATTAACCCTTCTATCTTTTTATAATTCAAACCTTGTGCTTTGCTTTAGCAGTTAGCACTGCTTGCTTACTTTGCCACACAATCTAGTGACACTGAAACTATCTCCTCTTCTAAGCTTGAGAACCCCCATCCGCTAATCTTAAAATCTTAAACGGTTAGAGAGAGAGCACTATTACTCCATCTGTCCCAATTTATGTGTCGTTCTTTGATTAAGCACGGAGTTTAAGAAAGAAAGACTTTTAAAACTTGTATAAATTAAATCATAAACATTTGCATGACAATAAATCATCTCATTAGGGGTAAAATGGAAAGTTTAAAGTTAAACTATTTCTAAATATAGTAATGTCATTCTTCTTGTAACAGACTAAAAAGGAAAAAGTACTACGTAAAATAGGACAGAGGGAATATCTATTTAGACTTTAAGTTATATACACCGTCTTTACACTATCAGGTCACTAAAATGATATAAACAAGTAAGCTTCCTTAAAATGTGAATTTCCAATCTTGAAAATAAGACAAGTTACCTGCTATACCACATAAGGTGATCTGATAGTGTAAAATTTTGTCATACTAACAGTGTATATAACTTTTAATCTCATATTTATGTATGCAACAGTGCAAGTAAGAGTACAAAAGAAAGAAACTACACTCGACGTCAAGAAAAGAAAATACCTACTGGCAGGCAACGTGGACACATTTGGTGCAACAACAACTTCCTCAGCAACAACAAAGACTTCCACTTGCTCAGAATCCTTAAAAAAGTTGACCATACGTTTTACGTCCTTATCTTTGGATACTGTGATCAGTGTCTTTTTATTCCCAGGTAGAAAATACTTTATAGTAATCTCCTCAGTACTAAACTGAAATGTGTCAGCTAATTCTTGCTTAAAAGCATTCACATTCATTTTCTCATCAATATCTACAGCATATGCATCACCTCCTGTGTAACTCAACGTCCCATTTTCCTCATTGGTCACAAATTCACCACCAGATTGGCATATTGCAATGATTTTCTTTGCTTCCATCACGAGGGCGACATAAACAACAACAACAACAACAACTATGCCTCAGTCTCAAATAAATTTTTGAGTCGGCTGTATGAATCCTCACTGCTTTATTTACACCATCATAAGTGCGACATAAAATGTCTAACAAATTGTGCTGAACCAATCGTGTTGACACGAGCCCCTGATGTTACAATCCTATACTAGTATACTAGCTAAGAACTAATTGCGTGACAAAAATATCAACCTGCACAAAAGATCATAGTTGAAATCTTTAGAATATTAATAACAACTCCAATTTATGTATAGCGTCTGATTAGGCACGAAGTTTAAGAAGTAACGAAAGACTTCTGAATTAACAACTACTATGATTTAGTGATAAGAGTATGTGAATTCAATGAAGCTATAAATAATCTATAGACGTAAAATGAAAAGTTTAAAGTTAAATTAATTCTAAATAAAGAAACAAATTGAAGGGTCATTGGAGCAACGGTAAAGTTGACTCCATGTAATTTCGAGCCGTAGAAGCAGTCACTAATGCTTGCATCATAAGTAAGTTATCTACATCGCATACTAGGGATGATGCGGCCCTTCACCAATACTTGTACTCTATTCTTTTTGGAACATAGTAACATAAGAAATAACAACTTTTTGGAACATACTAACATAAGAAATAACAAGTAAATAATGCTAGGTATAATTAAAAAAGAAGCACGAAATGTAAAAGCTACCAAGAAAAAAAACTAATCAAGTACATAAAAATTAGAAATTAATATGAGAAAAACAGAGACAAAATTAGAAAGAACAGAAAACACATGCAGATTTGTAGAAGGCGAACTAACGAAAGGGTTCATCAGCTCAGTTTTAGACAGGAAATATAATTCGGAGAAATTTGTGGGAACAAAGTGCAAAATCGCGTTTCTAGATTCCTCTTTTTAGAGGGGAAGAAAATGGAATTACCTGTTAAAGATGGGGTATTCTTTTAATTTCTCTTTTGCTTCGTTTCAAGTATAAAATCTGTTCTCTCACGGCACAAAGAGAAAAGATAGAAGGGTAATCTGCAATTGTGGCCCTTTCCAAATACCATGGGAGGTGAATGCAATTTGAGCTACTTGATTTTATGACATTTTGCACCCTAAATTTTGCAAATAATTGTCAATCTTCCTTTACTATTTCGTGATACGTAATTTTCACCCCAGTTTTTGAAATTGATAATAACATGTCAAAATTAATTTGGACTTTGGACCAAAGGCCAATAACAATCCAATGCCAAACACCAGTGTGGCGGGACGCACCTTCTAGCTTGATTGATCACATCATAGACAAGTCACGTGTTTGAGTCGTGGCTTAACTGGTAAAGTTATTGTCATGTGACCAGGAGGTCACAGGTTCGAATTTTGAAAACAACCTCTTATAGAAATTCAGGATAAGACTGTGTATAATAGACCCTTATGGTTCTAATCCTTCCTCGAATCTCGCACATAACGAGAGCTTAATGTATCAGGCTGCCCTTTATAGACCAAATCAAGCCTCGACAATTTTGATGTTCTATCACCTCATTAGCTTTAGAAGATAAACATCATCCTTAAGGGAAATGGAAAATCGAATATCTTATCTCTAATTAACTCTTCTCAACTCGCTAATGTTCCATCATTTTTGCTTGATTAACACTTTAATAGCTTTGCTTTGCTCAGTCACTCAGGAACCCAAAAATACACATTTTAGTTAGTTGTAAGTTAAACGTGAGTAGTCAATTATTTCAAGGACCAAATTTTAGATTTACTAATAATTAAGGGATTAAAAGTGCAAATATCTAACTAACAGATAGACGAATTTTTGCTCCAAACGGCAAAGGAAATTAGAGAGAAAATGAGAAAAATGGTCCCTTATGCTTGGAGATAGGTTTAAGATAGTCCTTTAAATATATTCAGAGTATTTTTGCTTTTTTAAGTTTGTCAAAATGAATTCAATATTTAACAAAATTTAGTTGTAAGATTTAACAAAAAATGTGAAAAGAAATTATGAGACACATTTGTAGGTGCAAATTTTACAATTTAAGCTATTTTTTAAAATCTATTTCTAGTGTCTTGAGCAATTTTTAAGGCGCAATTTCTACTATAATTGGTTTATTTCTAGTGTCTTTTGCAGTTGTTGATGTATTTTCTAAGATTTGAAGTGATAGTATTTTTGGTCAAATCTTTTTTTATAGTTCCCGTTAAATCCAACAGCAAGAGCTTGTTAATCATTTAACATAGATCAATCTCACTTTTAATAAACTTAATGTACTAAAATTACACAAGAGTATATTTAAGGGACTATTTTAAACCAACACTAAACATAAGACACCAGTTTTGTCATTTTTTCCCAAATTTTTAAACAAAGAGTCTAGTCTAGTCTAGAGATAAATGAAATGACATTTTGGGATTTAACAGTCAAAGCAGCTGAACTCTGATTAGAACCTGGCAAAATTCAATTCGTAGATTGATATATGTGAATGAAAAATGTGTTTTTCAGCAGCTTTGGCACTTCCATCAATTCCCAATCTCGAGCTTTCTTCTTCCAATTCTACCTCTGTATGTTGCTATTCTATTGTCACTTTACTCTACTGTTTTTTTTTTTTTTTTTTTTTTTTTTTTTTTTTTTTTTTTTTTTGCAGCTNTTAGATAATTAGATCTGAGACACCACCTTATGGTCCGGTCTTTCCTCGAACCCCCCGCATAGCGGGAGCTTAGTGTACCAGACTGCTTTTTTTTTTTTTTTTTTTTTTTTTTTTTGTGTTTCGAAATTGATGCTTAATTGTAATATACCAACAGAATTGGAGTGGAAAGGACGAAGATCCAAATAAGAGTCAAGCGGTGAAATTGTCATTACCAGCTTATAAATGGCGCTTTGTTATTGCTTACGACGGTACCAGATTTTCAGGTTTCGTTTTTCTCCTTCGTTTTTAATTTATGTAACGTGAATATATAAGAAAGAAATAATGGATTTTGAAACTTGTTATTGTCTATAAAAGATTCTCGTTACGGATAGATGAAAAGTTTAAATTTAAATTATTTGTAAATATAGAAATTTGTTAGGAAAAGACTAAAGGAAATAGTGTCACGTAAGTTAGGTTGGAGGGAGTATGCTATAACGTTGAGGTGGTTACTTCTCTCATTGTTACTCTAAACAGCTAATTTTGTTGGTATATTCACAAGTCACCACGGTCGACCTCTTTACCTTCACTGGGTAGAAGTATGATTTGCGTACACTCTATCCTCCTCAAACCCACCGTGGTAAATATACTGAGTTTGTTGTTGTTGTATTCACAAGCAGAGGCGGACCTACATGGAGATGAGAGGGGTCACCGGAACCCGCTAGTCTCGGCAAAAACTGTGTATATATATTTGTATATACATCAAGTACCCCTCAAATAATTTTGATGTGCCCCCTCAAGCAGAAAAGCTTAACTGCTCCGTTGGTTTAATAAGTTGCATTATGTCCTCCCTGATGATAAGACCTGGGTTCGAGACCCAACACCAGTTCTCTTTTTTCATTGGTTTAATAATTTTCCTGTATTTAGTGGTCAACTTATTTTTTTTTCTTTATCTTTTTTGAGCAAATGAACAATAATTTAGAACTAGTACATAGAAGGAGATAAAATATTCCATTAACAAAAAGTCAATCACCTTCTTTATCCTTATATCTAAGTTTATAAGCATTATCACTTTCTTGACAAGTATAAAATTAAGTAATTCACCAAAAAATTTTCCAAAAATAATACTTAAAAACTCCAAAAACCCTTCTGCTTTCAAGGATCACTTACGGCAAAGTAGCAAATATTTATCGATTCAACGACAGTGACTGAGACTCTGCTTAGATTGCTTAATAGACCTTTAATCTTGATCTTATATAACCAAGTTTTTTTATATTTTTGAACATCCTTTCGGTCACTGACTCATATTCATTAAGTTTTCAAGGAGTTAGTGCGCCAAATTTTGTCGTTATTAGCTGACATATCTATGTCAAAGATAGCGGTGCCCCTGCTGCGCTCAAATCCTGGGTCCGTCTCTGTTCACAAGTCACCACAATAAATTATCCTTGCCTTCTTATGTTAGATATTTGTAGCAATTACTAATGGCTTAGAGTTAGTTTAGTGGTCTAAGATGTCATTTTCGGCTTCACATTCGTTGCAAAATCATGTGCACTTCTGCGTTTGACTCTTTTCTGGACATTGTTCTTTCATGTAATCTTTGAAGGTTTTTTTTTNTAAGAGTTGTCGCCACACATTCAAGCTATGGAAATAACTTCTTACAGAAATGCAAGGTAAGGTTGCGCAAATAGACCCAATGTAGTCTGGTCCTTTTGCGAACCCCGCACATAGCAGGAGCTTAGTGCACTGGGCTGCTCTTTTACTATTCAAAGAGTCTAACACTCTTTGGTCTTGACTTTTATAATTATCTTTTCAATCAATTTGAAGTTTAGAACTTGGGAATTAGTAGTGTTTTTGATGTTGTATCTAAATATATACCTATATTTTTGAAAAGTTGACAAATCAACCCTGATGAAGCGAACAAGGCAAGTCAGACGGTGGTAGTAAGATTTTGAACAAACTAGTTATCGGAACACCTTATCTTTTATTCTCCTTTCCTGGATTTCTTTCTAGCGTGTGTGCATAGGTAATATGAGTTTGTATTTCTTTAAGATCGTCCTTATTTTTTGTTCTTTATCAGCCACAATGATTGCTAGATAATAAGATGTTGAGCTTACCTGCTAAATATTTTTACTCCTCTTTTATTATTTGGGGAGTGTATGTTGTGATGCGGTTGTTATGCGTCCACAATACTGAATGATGAATATCCTGTAGGATGGCAGTATCAGCAGTCAACACCTACTATACAGTGCATTCTGGAAGAAGCTCTGACTACAATAACAAAATTAAACCGCAAAGATCTTTGCTCAGTTGGTGCAAGTCGAACAGATGCAGGCGTTCATGCATTGGGTCAGGTCTGCTTTCCCTGCTAATGGATTCTACTAACCAAAGGAAATGATTTTAAAAAAAAAATAGACTTAGAGCCAACTTTGGCTTTCAGGTGGGACACTTCATTACGCCTTTCAACTATGAAACGCTAGAAGGCGTTCACCAAGCTTTAAATGGTCTTCTTCCTTCTGATATCCGAGTTAGAGAAATCAGCCCTGCGGTGCCTGAATTTCATGCTCGTTTCTCTGTCACAAGCAAGATTTATTGCTACCAAGTGTATAATTCCACTATCATGGACCCATTTACGAGGCACTATGCTTACCATAGCACATATAAACTCGACGCTGCTGTCATGAGAGTGGCTGCAGGGCATTTTTTGGGGAAACATGACTTTTCTGCCTTTGCCAATACATCACGAAATGACCGAGTGCCAAATCCAGTGAAGACAATTTTTCGATTTGATGTTGTTGAAAAGGTACTATATTCATTCCTTTAGTGAATATAAGATTATTAATTAGCTTACATGGCTTGCAGTGAGGGTGGGTTTCACTTTGCCTACACAAAATACACTTGAGCTGGCTCACTACTCAAGGTTACATGCATGTGGCTTTCATGTTAAGTTCCAGTCATTAGGTGCATGAGGACTACTTCGAGCTTAGAAGCTCAATGAATATATCTATTCTTTAAGTTCATGCTACCAATTTCCAAGACTGAAGGAATACGGAACTTTATGACATTCTCACATCTATCCCATTTCATTTAGTATATTTTGACTAGTTATGGAGATTTAAGTATTTAATTCAATTGTTATCATGAGTAGGAATAGAAAACTGGCTCTTGATACAGAAGGCATTAAAGGGATAGAGTTCAGTACCTCTCATTTAGGTTTTGAATTTTTGTTCCTTTATCTTGTTGGCACTAATGTGAAAGTCCTAACAGTCATTGATAAATGCTGACTTCTTACAGGAGTTACGGGTTGTATACATTGCTTTAGTTTTGTACTTTATGTTGTGTAAAGAGTTGGCACATATTTGGTGCCTAATAAACACTCTTTTCTACTTATCAAAGAAGATAGGAGAAGGGTCAACCTTTCTCAGTCTTCGTCTTTACTGTTTATTCACTTTACTGCAATTCATACTTGTTTCTTTGCTGTGCATATTTTCTGAACCAAATTGTAGTATTTTCAGTTTTCAATATAACATTAACTCCTGTGCTGATTAACAAAAATGTCTCAGGCTGCACTTTGCAAATTTCACTGATAGTTTACCAAAGGGCTAGAGAAACAAAATATTAAAGTGAAAATGAAGGGAAAAGCTTACTGTCCAGCACTGCTTCTGACATCAAAATCAGCCAACCTCCATTCGCCCTCCAAACTCACAAATTTATCCCAACAAAATTGATTTTATTATTTCAGTTTTCTGTAATTCAATTTTGATTCTCTTCTCACACAGAGCCGAGAAAAGGCATAAAAGGAAAGCAAAGACATAAATAAGGAAACATTTGAGGGAAACCAAAGTTTGGGTCATACATCCATCAATGAAGTTTTAAGTTGAATTTTGCCATGCTTTGCTTTTAGGGACCTCTTTTACGGCTTGAAGTTGAAGGATCTGGTTTCCTATATAGACAAGTTCGGAACATGGTATGTTACTTGCTTATTCTTACCTTGGTAATTGAAATTAAGTGATAGTCGATATAACTTTGGCGACAGAGTTTCATAAAACTTCCTCTGCTTTTTTAATGATTTATCTATGTAAAATAGGATTTTTGAGTGATAGGCAAATGCTTATAAAACTTCAGTTACTTGTCATGGTTTCATGATTAAATCTCAATTGAATAAAAAGGCTTTTGGGCAATGCCGCTGAAGATAACACATAGTGTTTTCTTTCAAAATCATTGGCAGGTTGCCTTGCTGCTTCAAGTTGGAAGACAAGCAGTTCCACCTGATATTGTTGTTAGGATTTTGGAATCTCGTGATAGGAAGGAACTTGCGAAGTATGCCTTGCAAGTTCCACCTCACGGCCTTTGTCTCGAGACTATCAACTATAATGAAGAACATCTCAGACTTCCAACAGATTCCCCTGCAAGTAGTTTTGGTAGGCACCATAGTATAAGCTATTGTAAGGTGCCATTCATATGACTAGTTGATAATTTAAAAATGAAAGCATGTAGAATGAATTCTGCCCTTTTTAACACATTCATAAAAAGCATTTGCTGTCTTGGTAGCCATTGTTTGAATGCATGGCAAGAGTGATAATCACTCATACTATCTCGCTTTGCATGTGTCTTGCTATGTTCGTGGTGGAGGTCTTGCCCGTGCTTAGGATCGTGTGATTTATGGTAGTTATTATTCCATAAGCATATCTGTGTGATTGTCATTTGCTGCATTGAGTGAAGATTTCATTAGGATCTGGTGTGATTTCCTGTTTCGGGGTTCAAATTGGTTGAATTCTGGACCTTCTTTTGGGAGACTAGTGCCCTTCCCTCCAGACAGAAGTAGTTAAATCCCATGCTGAAAAGGATATAGTTTTGCAGAGGAGAGTATTGTAATTTGATGGGGTTGTAATTCTCTTGAGTCATGGCCACTCTTGTATCAGAGTTTTGTTGCTTGAATTGCTGTAAAAGGCTCATCTTAACAAGCTTTTCACGGATGTGGTAAGTAAAGTGTTAGAAGTTATAGCTAAATATAGGTTGAACTGAACTATATTTTTGACGTAGAGCAAAGATACTGTGTACGATCAAAACCGATTCTCAGTCATAATGGCCGGTCGAGACAATGACGTTTCAATCGAAGGGTATCCACATGACAAGCTCAGACGAATTCCGAAGTAGGGACGTCGAGCTTCGCGCTATAAACGGCAAAACTCGATATCATTATCGAGTCCGTGTTCGAATCGAACTACGGGGCAACACCGATCGATACGGGCCCCGAATATCAATGCCCCAAGGCAGAACCAAGACTGGGGGTTCGACCTAACATCGAGCTCGAGCGAGTGCCAAGCTCGCAGACAAGAGCCGTTACAACCGCACCGAGGGAGAGAATCTTGGCGAGAATCAAGGAAGAGACAAATCATCATGGGTCCTCCACTATATGTATTATTTTATTATGTTGTTATAGATAAAGCAGTTATCCTCTACTATAAAAAGGGGATAGACTGTAATAGAGGCAAGTTCTCCAAGATATATTAAGATTTCATTGTGCTTGTTTTTCTAATTCATTTCAGTCTTCCTGTCCATCATTCCCATTTTATAGCAAAAATACCTGTATTGTCATTTTGTATCAAAGGGATTCGCATACCCTTAGAACCATATCTAAATTTAACGTTATTCGATTTTTTGGGTAAACAGATACATATATAAAAAATTACTACTAACATTTTAACAAATATTAAATTCTGACTCTGTAATTTCAAAACTTCAATTGATCGCCTTAAAAGTTGAACCTCTCAAGTGGATTGCCTCTATTCTTTAGTGTCTTTAGTTTTCTCTGGTTGTTAAACTAATGATTGAAGTAGATATAGGAATTGGAGTTGAAATTTATGATTTGTAAAGCCTTTGACATTTGGAACTTCTTTCTTAAGATCAGAATATTGATTCTTTTTATACTTCAAAAAATATTGTGCAAATGATAAATAAAAAAACCAAAAAAGGAAGTTTCATGGGAGATAAGATGCTACACGTGAAGACATTGGATGCCGATGAGTTCCTTTGATAATACGGAAAAGGGTCAGAAATGCCCTTAACATATTAGAAATATGCCCTTAGCATATTAGAAATGGCTCAAAAATGCCATCATTCCACCTATGTATCCAAATTTGTCCTTAATATTATTTTTGGGCTTAAAAATGCCCCTCTCTTAACAAAAAGATGATATGGCATTGATGGATATTTTAACATTAAGGGCAAATTTGAACACATAGGTGGAAGGAGGGCATTTTTGAGCCATTTCTAATACGTTAAGGGCATTTCTGACCCTTTTTCGTTTTAATTAAACATGTAGAATTTATTTAGTTAGGAAAATGTGAATTGTTTTTAACTAAAAACTGAAAAAAATGAAAATATTTATTTTTCCAGTTTTTACATAAAAGTTGCTTTTAAAAAGCTGAAAAATATTTTCTAAAACAATATTTTTGTAAAAACTGAAAAAAAAAACATTTCCTCTTCTTCCTTTCTTGTTTGTCCATATGCTTTCTGAGTTCATTTTTTATATATTTTAGGTCTTCTAATGAGTTAGTACATCAAAACTGAAATATTTTCATTTTTTTTTCCAGTTTTTAGTAAACAAAATCACTTTTTTCAGACTAAATAAATGCTACATGTTTAATTAAAATGCCATTTTCCCAGAACTCAGAAAGTCAATCTATTCCTAAATAAATGCTATACGTTTAACTAAATAAATGCTATATTTTTCGAGACTAATGAATTTTGTTTTACTAAAAACTGAAAATATTTCAGGTTTGATATACTGACTCATTAGAAGAACTAAAATATATATAAAAAAAATGAACTCATAAAGCATATTGACAAACAAGGAAAGAAGAGGACGTATTTTTTTCAGCTTTTACAAAAACATTATTTTAGAAAATTATTTTTTAGTTTTTCTTTTCAGTTTTTACAAAAATATTATTTTAGAAAATATTTTTCAGCTTTTTTTAAAGCAGTTTTTTTGTAAAAAATAGAAAAAAAAAATATTTTCATTTTTTCAGTTTTTAGTAAAAAAAAATTCACTTTTTTCCAGACTAAATAAATGCTACATGTTTAATTAAAACAGAAAAGGGTCAGAAATGCCCTTAACCTATTAGAAATAGCTCAAAAATACCTTCCTTCCACCTATGTGTTCAAATTTGCCCTTAATGTTAAAATGTCCATCAATGCCATGTCATCTTTTCGTTAAGAGAGGGGCATTTTTAAGCCTAAAAATAACATTAAGGGCACATTTGAACCCATAGGTGAAAGGAGGGCATTTTTGAGCTATTTCTAATATGTTATGGGCATTTCTGACCCTTTTCAACATTGTATATAATATATATTCCTAGGACTTGAAACCTTGTAACTCATACTTTAGCAAAGTTTTCAATTTCTCTTTCGGACAGGGTTAATTGGATTCTATTTACCCAAGTTGCATCGCAAATGTTGCAGCATTATTCGGTGTCTGGTATCCGCATTAGGACTAGTAACAGAGTCACCTTATAACGAGGGGTGTCAACTGATACACCCCTTCATTAAAAAAATACACTATACAAGTAGATAATTTTTTTTTATATATTTACTTTTATATATTTTGACATACCTTAATACTTATCATGTTGGTATTTTGGAGTCGCACGAAATTCTATTTTGGAGAGCAAAGAATGAAAGAAATACTTATCACGTTGGTATCTTTTGGACATCTTATGTCGTTATGCATGATACTTGTCAACGATTTTTTTTTAAAACATTATAGGATGTGGTAAATTCTTTTCAGACACGTATCAGACTAGATAAAATGAATAAATAATTAATTGTTACTGCATCGAGATAATTACAAACCCAGTACAGTGAATATATCCATGATTTTCATTGATCATGGGGAGGGAATAACAAAAAAGAAAAAAAAAATTGGGGTCAGAAGAGCTTGTTCGTTCTTGTTATGTGCTTCTTCTTTTTTTTCCTTCAATATATTTTTGGTTTTTTTTCGGGGTGGGGNCAGGTTCTGATTGCTTTGGACTTGTCTAAAATTGACCACATCACCTGAACATCTTCATATGCACAAGCCATTACTTCACCCTGCAAATCTACTACATGGTTCTCTGAACCTACAAACACAAAAGAATATGTGCACAAATCAAACAACAAGGCCAAGAAATCGACACAAAGGCGAATTCAAGATTTAAAATCGACGAATTCAGAATAAATGTAATGGATTATATGTTTTCTTTTTAAACTTTTTTGGCCTATGTATAAGGGATTCGAACTAAAAATAGTGGATTCAGTAGAACCTACTCAATCCGCTCTAGATCATACAACACGCTAAGGCGAATTCAAAATTTAGAGTCTGAACATATGTGATCTATTATACATATATTTACACTTTAAAATTTCTTTTCGAGCATAAAATAGTGAGTTTAGTCGAACGTATGAATCCGTTCTTGACTCGCTTATGAATTAACACAATATAGATTGCATTATTATACACAAATATTGTATGTACATACCTTCTTCTTGTGACTTCTTTTCCCTTGGTGAATCTCTTGGTGATTGTTGATTATTGAAAAAAGTACGAGCTTTTCTAAAAGGAGTGGTAATTGTTTTGACCCACGAAGTCATTTTTCTGTTTTGACAAAAGAGTTATATGTCCAAACTCTCTATTTACTAAGAACACAAAAGGGTTTATATAGAATGTACATCTCACCTAGACTACACTATTTTAAAAGGATAGTGTGGGAGCCATAATAGGGCAGGCAAGATCCGATAGATAAGCTTTTATGTATCCTCACATCTCTCTCTTCTTTATTGTTTTTAGTTTGTCAAAAATTCGAAGTTCACTTATCCGACTAATTCGAATTTATGTATGTAATATAAGCCCGATATGAGAGTTAAGCACCTATCGTCAAGAAATTTTTTACTATTCACATAAATCGATCCCGAGATATCTAATTAAACTGAAGAAATCTCAATCATTTCACCGCACCCTTTGAAACGTGGTCTTTCTCTCTCTCTCTCTCTCTCTGCTTTATTTCTTTTTAGCTTGTCGATATTCGAAACCCACTAATCCGACTAATTCGAATTTATACATGCAATATAGGCCCTATATGAGAGTAAAACACCTACCGTCAAGAAGTTTTCTACTTATTCACATAAATCGATCCCGAGATATCTGATTAAACTAAAGAGATCTCAACCATTTCACTGCACCCTTTGAATCATGGTCTTTCTCTGTCTCTTCTTTATTTTATTTTTAGCTTTTCGATATTCGAAACTTACTGATCCGACTAATTCGAATTTATGCATGCAGTGTAAGCCCGATTTGAGAGTAAAATACCTACCGTCAAAAAGTTTTCTATTTATTCATATAGATCGATCTCGAGATATCTGATTAAACTGAAGAGATCTCAATTATTTCACCGCACCCGTTTAGTTAGTGGTCTTTCTCTCTCTCTTCTTTAATTATTTTTCTTATCTCTGCACTTCCAAGTTTTGTGCTGCCGACTGCCCTTCACAACCACATGGCTACGGAACCCTTCCACGTGAAGACATATTATCTTCTTGAATGTGACGTAAAAATGATTTTTGAGCCCAAAAAATTATATGATAACGAAGTAACGCCTTGTGTGTACAACTTGTGTACTTTGTATTTTGACTTGACATTCTCTTATGAAATCATTTTTTATTATGACAATCACATGTTGGTGGTACCCTTGGTATTGATTATTGAACCGTTACGACTAAATCCGGATTCGTACAAGAAATTCTCACGTCGTGGTATAAAGTATTTTTTAATAAAAGTGATTCCATAATCAAGACTTGAACCCGAGACCAGATGCAGAACCAAGATTTAAAACTTATGGGTTTAGTATTTTAAATCTTCTAAGTTACTAGGTTCTAAATTGATAATTTATGCAGAATTTAATAATTTTTTATGACAAATACATGGTTTGGACAAAAGTTATTGAGTTTAGCTGAACCAGTATTTGAAGGGCTAGTTTCGGTCCTGCCCGAACTCCGACCTCGCTCGAGAATCGAGACCTTTGATTAATGATAAATGAGTATTTATCACTCCACAACGTTCTTTGTTGATTTCCCTTAGCTTTATGCAAATTGTCGATGGCTCCAACCTTTTACTTAGGTTCCTAAAAAAGTACACTTCTATGATTTAAAAGGGTTTATTTGGAGAAGGTATGAGTTTGATGTCAACTCTTATACTTTTTATTAGAGGATAAAATTAATTACTGCATTATCTTATTATTAGCACAAGACGCTAGATTATAAAGTAGGTTTATGTTTTGCATTAAGTGTAAATATTGATGAGCTCACAACAAAAGTGTAAAGCTAAAGCTTGTGCTTGTCAAAGATAATAAGTTACCTTTTTCGATTACACACTCAACTATTATGACCTTTTAAGCTATGGATATATAAGTACTCTTCTCGGTTATACTAAATTACTAATATATGATTAAGGAATCATAATACCTTAATTAAGTTTTGAAGATTCTTCATCTAATCAATGATAGATACGAGGAGGAAAATTAACCATAAAATTAAGTCATAAGATCCATCTAAATCCAACTATAAGAAAGTTGCTCTATAATATGTTCCAATATTATAGGAGAAAATATAACATGTATGTATGCATATAATTAAATTATATTTATTTTGAATGTACTGGCTCTAAATCGAACGTAAACCCCTTTTTTTTTCTTTAGAAGTGTTACAACCCAAATTCGCATACCATAGATCACGTCGTAAGTTAGTCGATGTAAATCCAA